ATTTAACAAAACTTATGAGAGTCAGGAACGCAATCTCGTCGAAGCATGCTTTCGAAATAACCTTGCTTCAATTAGGACTTTTGAAGGTTGTAACGTGGCCTGGTTCACAGTTTTCAGAAAAAAAAATTTTAGGCTCAAAATTTATTGGTGCCAACCCATTCTTCATGATGTTATCCAGCCATATGTTCAGTTAATTCAACACTGGTGTTCATTTCTCAGAAAAATATTTTGTGATGGTTAAGGAAGTGATAAGGCTTTCAGAGTAGTTGTCACCCTTCTCGTGTTTGTGTTTGTAGTCACACAAATTTGTTCTTGGTTGTGGACTTTTCTTTGTAATTTTTTGTTTTGTTTTTCTCTAACCTTTTCCTGAACTAATTCTTTTGAATTAATAGTCCAGCGGGATGCCCTAATTTTTTCCTAAGTCGCTCGTTTTCAAGTTTTCGGCTTAGCGGGTTTTTTCTTTTTTCTTTTTGAACAAAACGTGTGACATTAGCTTGTCTTGACTTATTGAGAGGGTTGTGACTACCTCTTTTCTTGATGGATGAGGGATAACCATTGTAGTTTTGCATCTTCTGGCCCCATAATATATGAAGGATAGCCATCGTAGTTTCTCTTCAGAAATATCTTCCTTATGAATTTTGAACACTCAATTAGATTAACTGAAAACTACCCTTCTCCAAGTTAAAATTAAGGTTTTTTTATAGAAAAGAAACTCCTACTTCAAGGCTCAAAATGGGTTAGCAAGGGATTATCTTCCTTATATCTCTGGTATTTAGGGATTTGAAACAATGCATGTACATCTTCAGCAAGATTTTATCCAAAAGCATACAACCAAAGATTTTTGCGTTTTTCAGATCATCATTCTCCCCCCAATATCTTCCTAAGCGAGAGAATGGGAAACAAGTTGGTATCATAATGCAAAAAACAATTTAAAATTTGAAAACAAATATGAGCGAAACGAATGAATTTCTTCAAGACAAACATACTCATTGTATTAAGATAATCATTCAAATGTAAACAAGTTCTTACATGTAAACAAAGCTTTAACAAACACGAAAGATAACAAGGGAAAGCAATAAAAATGATAATAAGCTAAGAAGAATATCTCCATCTGGACTTGAGCTACTGAAAACATCCTTCAAAACTCAGAGTAATCATAAATAATCTTTACTCTTCTGCAAATGCTTGATTTGAACTTCAAGACCAACGTCCTTGAATGACAAGATACCATTTCTGACCAACTTCTGGACTTCATCTTTCAATGAATACCAATGTTCAATGCTATGCCCAGGGGCTCCCTGATGAAAGGCGCAAGTTAAATCAGCTTTGTAGTACCACAACATCTTCTCAGGAACCATTGGTGGAAGTCGAGTCTGAACTAAATTCCTCTGCATCAGGATAGGGAACAACTCTACATAGGTAATTGGAATTGCATCAAATTGAGTTTTCCTCTGGTTAGGAACTTGCTGATTCTGTTAATGAACTGGAGCTGCAGAAGGTAAATTGAACACATGGATGATAGGAGAAACATGATGATTCTGGTGATGATTATTTCTTCCTCTGGCTTTATTCTTGAAAAAGTTATTATCAAACTTCTTCACACCACTAGCTGAGCCACCCTCTTCATATAAACATCCCTTTCGGACATCTTCTTCTAGATGCACTCCTACATTTTCCTTGTCAAGAAAGTCACTAGGTGTATTAATTATCATCTTCTCATGAAATAATGATTTCTGAGTTTCAGTGAAGACCTTTTCCATCGCTTCTTCCTTCCTAGAAGGATTGACTTGGGCGGAAACCAAAATTTTAACCAAACCAGTTAAGTTCTCCATACTAACTCAAATTAGTCACCTCTTTGCGGAGTTCAGAAACCTCTTGCTTGATATTCTCCATTGTTTTCTTAGCGCGAATGTTGCACTGGTGGGACCAAAGGAAAAATAAGGCTTGGAAATGACTTTTGAAAGTGAAACAAAAAAATGTAGAATGATGTATGAGATGCAAGAGAGGTTTTTTATTTGATTTTCCAGGAACTCAAAATATTAAGTTGTAAACATCAAAGTATGAAGATAGAAGATGAATTTTAAATTGGATCAAAACATTGATCAAGTTATCATCAAGATCAATCATCCATTTTGGTGGATTAGGGTTTTCACCCCATCAACACCCAAGATCCATTGAGCTTGATGAAACTTGTGATTTTTACAAAGAATCCTTGAAAATCAAGGGAAAAAGGGTTTCATGGATGCATGAAGGCATGACTATGCAACAACCACAAGCAAGATCATAAACAAAGTCGAAAGGTTCAACGTCACGAGCATGAAGTCAAAGGTAAAGACCACCCCCAAGGTATGTACTAAAGGTTTAATCACACATGTAAAACAAGGTTCTAAAAGTTCTCAGAGTATACAATCCTCCATAAGATATTACCAATTTCTCGATTACTCGGTAATTAGCAATATTCTCAAGAGAAACTCGTTTGAGTGCAGCATCGCATGACAACTAATTCCGGATTACTCCGTTATAGTCTCCGCACTACACCTAAGAGGCCAAGATGGGTTAAGGGTTCTATGGTTCTCATCTTCTCTGGATCCCAGGTCAAAAGCAATAATATCTTCCCGATTACTCGGTAAACAAATACTATATTCAAAGGGGCCTCCATCGAGTGAGGGGTTTCATGTCTCCTTCTTCGGGATTACTCCCTCAAAGTTAACATGACTATACCACCCGTCCTATTCTTAAGTGTAACTTAGTCCGGGTATAGGACTTGTCCTTTGTAAGTATCATCAACACCCAAATAAACCATAAAACAACATCTAATCAAACAAACAAATAATAATAAAAACAAATATGATAAATTAGGCTTAACCCACTTAGGGATGGACCAGCAAGAGGTCAATCTTTCCCCAGCAGAGTCGCCGATTCTGTAGCGGTAAAAATTGGAGATCAAGCTATTAATTAACTTGACTCGTAAATAAGCAAGAGTCGCCACCGCGCTTTATTATTTCCAAGGGAAAAGGGAAAAGAGCGAAATAAAACCCTTAAATATGCAATGTAAAGTAATACTTAAAAAGTAATGAAAATACAATGCGTTTTTGAAAGAGACCTAGAGTTCGGTGGTTGGTTATACAATGGGAAGGTATTAGAACCCAATGCATTTGCGGTACTCTGCAGGAACCTTTGGAAATATCTGTTTTTTTGGTTAAAATTGTTTGTTTGGTCAAAACGGGTGTGGACGAGATTTTGAAGATACGACGACCTAGTGTCGAAGTTTTGACTTAATAGGGGTGTGAGTTTTAAAATTGACTTTTTAGGAAAATTAACTTAAGTTTAGCAAAATAGTAAAACAAAAATGAATGAAGGTATTCACACAATCGTATATGATATATTTGATGATATGAAGTCAACAAAGTGAAAACATCTCCCATGAAATTGGTGTAAACAACTTAAATGATTAAATAATTAAATAAACAAAATAAAAGAAAGACAAAATTAAACTAACAAACTTTTTATAGAATTTTATGAGGACGAAGAAAGTAAAATGTAAAATAGAGTAGAAAGTAAAATGTAAAATAGAGATGTAACTAAAAGGTTATCTAAACTAAATTAAAATTTTAAGGTTATATAAAAAAATTAAAATTCTAAAAATTACTAAATTAAATATAAACTAAATTAATTTTAAAGTTACTAAATTAGAATTATTGAATTATTAAATTAAACCTAAACTAAATTAAAAATTCTAAAATTTTCCAAATATTTCTAAACTAACTTAAAAATTCCAAATTTACTAAATTAAATTACATCTAAGACAAATAAAAATTCTAAAAAATTATCAAACAAAATATGAAATAAACAAATTTCTAAAGTCTAAACTAAATCTAACCTAACTAAAATATTTCTAAGTTTACTAAATTAAATCTAAGTCAAATAAAAAATTCTAAAATTATTAAACTAAATCTAAATCAAATAAAAACTATAAAGTTATTAAATTAAATAAAATTAAAATTCTAAAGTTATTAAGTTAAATCTAAATTAAATTAAAATTCTAAAAGTCTAAAACTACTAAATTAAATATAAACCAAATAAAATTTAAACCAAATAAAATCTAAACCAAATAAAAATTATGAAATTCTACAATTACAAAATTAAATCTAAATCAAATAAAATTTTAAAGTTACTAATTACGATTCTAAACTGATTAAACATTTTAAAGTTATAAAATAAATCTAAACTAATTAAAGAATTCTAAGTTAATACTAATTTAAGACTAAACTAAATTAATCATAAGATTTACCAATTTTTTTTTTTTTGCAAAATAAGGCTAAAGAGCTAACAAAAACGAAATAGAAATACTTTGGGAAGGTGTTGAACTCAGGTCTCTTTAATGGCATCATACATGCCTTGCCATTAAGTTATATTATTTATCGGTTATATTTATGTTTTTAATGAAATAAAAGGTAACGACGATAGAGTAATTGGACCAACAGGCCCATTGGGCCGACCCGGTTGTGAAAAGGAAAAGAAACGTTTTTGGGAACCCTAAAGTAAGGGAAAGGCGTCGCCGTTGTTCTTTATTAGGGAAGGGACAAATCAAATTCAATTATTATTACTACCATTAAAATATATTCCCTATGCCTTATCGTGAAACAAACTAAAACACTCTCTCTTTGAGTCAACTTCGTCTTCCCTAACCTTCATCCTTATTGCAACCTCTTCATCATGCTTCTCATGAATTAAGTAAACAATCTCACAGTGGCGCAATAATTCAGCATTCATATCAGTTTCCACTTCAAGTTCCAACGATTCGTACAGTTTCTTTCATCATCATCTTCCTCAATCCACGATTCTCTGCAACAACACCTCTTCAATCTTCAAGCATCTTCATCTTCAACCTTCAACAATATCAACAGAAGAAACATCATCTTCATTCATCCGATCTGAATTGAAGGAGCGCTAGACATTTTCTCTAATAGGTAACTGTCCTTTCTTTCTTCTACTTTGTTTTACTGTTTAAGTGTGTGCTTTAAACTGAGAGAGAGGTTGAAGACAAATTGTGACTCGGAATAAGGCAACAAATCGGATGAACATAGACGAAGGAGAAGTCCGAGACAAAGACGTGATTGAGACCAAATCTTGGAGAAGAGAATGGCAGAGGACATCAAATCGAATGATAAAGAAGAAGTGAAAATATGATTGAGCAAAGGAGAGGTTGAGAGAAGCCGAGCTGTCACGACGGTGGGACAGTGAGATGGGGGTGAAGAAAGGAAATCATGGAATGTGCTGTGTGAGGAATTGGTCATGATTTTGTGGAATTTACTAGGTGCAAAACCGTGATATTTTTTTGTGAATTTCTGAATTTTCTGTTTGAAATCAAGTCTGTGAATTTAAAAATGGTTGTTATGACTTTCGTGCATTTGGATTGAATAATGAATGGCTCAGATTTCACAACAACAATATGGTTCATATTCAACAACATCAACAACAACGTCAAGAATAATATTACGAATTCGCAAGTATGAACACGAGAAAAAAATCGCTATGTTCAATGAATACATACTATGCAGAGAAATAGGAAAGAAATGGAACCTGAATTTAGAGCAGAGATAAATAGAACCAAAGAGGAGGTAATTTGCCTTCCTACCGTTCTTTTTGAGTTTTTGCCTACTGTATTGTTATATTGTTTTCCCTACTTCCTTCCCTCATGGATTAAACATATTTTTCTTTACTGTCTTCTCCCCTTTTCTTCAAATCAGTCATCCCTCTTATATAGGCAAGTGGAGTGAAATTGGGAGGGAAAAGTTATTGAGTTTGAACAGATTTGTGTGTCCTGTTTCACTACTTTCTTCTGTAAATTTCTATCCTTCCTTTTTGATGCAATGTTTAGCATGTTATGTTTGCAGGGCAGCAGGCTGTTTATAGCAGTTTTGGACTATTGGAGCAGGGCTGTTTTGCAGCAGGTTTTTGGCAGGTTTGTGGGCAGATTTGGCAGGAAGACAGTAGCAGGTTTGTGGGCAGATTTGGCAGGAAGACAGTAGCAAGTTTGTGGGCAGATTTACAGTAAGAAAGTAGCAGGTTTGTGGCCAGATTTGTAGTAAGAAAGTAGCAGGTTTGTAGGTTTTGGGACAATTTGGTGTAAAAGAGAGTTTGGGCAAATGACATGAAGACTTGTACCAAGATTGGAATAAGACTTAAGATTTCTTTTTTTTATAATTCTTTAAATTTCTTTTGTAACTGTATGGATGAAGTTGATTTTAATGACGTAATGAAATTGTAATTTAATGGACTTGATAGAAATTGCAATAAATCTTTTCTTCCTCTTTTTTTTGAAATTTTCCTTTGGATGTCGCATATGCGTGAACTTTGAACGAAACTTGATACTTGAATATGTCATGAATGATGATGGTTAAATCTTTGAATGAATTTGAAGTCTCTTGAATGATTCTTGAATACAACTCTCTTTTGATCAAAGATGTTGTTAACTTTGAATCATGAGTGAAAATATTTATCTTTTGTGCTTGTATGAATCTTGAATGATATTGGAATAGAGTCTTGATCCATTTTTGAATAAACTTGAAATAACGCGCCAAATTGGACCTTACATTCAGGTGAATGAATCATGGTACATGCCTTGCAATCTCGAATCAATTATGATGCATGTCTCAAATTTAGTCCCATGAATAAAGTTTGAATTTATAAATGGGCAATTGAATCATGGCTAGCTTGAAAACCTTGAAAAAGGATGAATGTCTTTGAAAACTTGAATTAAATTAAATTTAATGACATCTTGTGTGCGAATCTTCAATTCATGATAATTTGCAATACAATTCAATAGCGCTTGAAAGAATAATAATTCCTTGAGAAATCCACTTTCATTCAATAATCACCAAATGCTCAGACACAATTGATTCGAATTGCGAATAATAAAGCGATCAATGAATTTCCAAACTCCATCTATTATTTTCATGAATAATATCCATGTAAGAATCAAGTATCTTGAGAAAATAGTTTAGACATGAGTTGAACCTAGGAGCTAAGAACATTCTAAGTCAAGAAATGACCCATAACGATTCAATGACTTTTATGATATTTTATGCATAATTAACTCTCGAATCTTGAAGAGAACTTGTAGACGACATCACTCATGAAAATGTGAAAAAAGAATCGCCTCAAAATGTCGAGAATCAAAAAAATTCTGATCCTTGGAAGTTAGGCACAACGATTTTGATATTAGGTTAAATTCCAAAGAATGACCTCTAAAGTATTCGTACTTTTGATGATCCTCCGCACATAATCAGATCTTGACTGGTAAAGAGGAGTTGGAGATGGCATCAAGGAGAGCTATACACAAAAATAACCATTTAAAAATATTAAATAATGAAGAAGTTATGATCGTTTTAACTTGATCTTACAAAAGGTTGGCTTTTGGTCAAAGTGCTTCGAACCGACTTTCAAAATTTGATCTTTCTTGTGCCCCAAGACATGTTAATGTATATGTGAACCAGTGATGCTGAAATCTTGTTTATACTCTGAGGAAGTTGTGGAGAAGCTTGAGACCACTTGTCGAACAAGGCGTGGAAATAAACACACGATCCTATGAAGTTCCCAAAGACATCTTTGATTAAAATGAGATTGAACGATGCTTGAGACTCTATGCTTTGAGATTAGAGGTTGTGCCATGATGAATGAACTTTGAGAATCCACAATTAATCGTACTTCTAGCTTGGGAGACTCAAAACACTAATTGAAGTGCGACGCCTGATGCTCTTGATTCAGACCTGTCTCTGCACATGAAACAAAAGAAAACACAAACATATACCTTTATATGCGATTAGAAGTTAGTGATACATAGGCTAAAAATGTTCAAAACACTTGACAATCTCTGCATAGTCAATGCTCAAAGGTGAGAGGTTAAAACGACCGTATTTCATGACCTTGACTTTTGTATAAAATTCAAAATGAAAATGGGATCTTAGGTCAAAAATTGGGGTATGACAGACACATACTGCTTTGACCTATGAGCAAGACTTCCCTATGCAATCTCCTTACCCCACTCCTTTTTGTTCCCCGCTACAACAAGTCTATTATGGTGCTTCTTGCTCTGAAAGAAAGGTTGCCTTCATGGTTTTATCAACAACACTAAGGGATTCATGTGTAACGAAATATAAGCTAGTTGCCCGCACAAAGTGGTAGGGGGCCCAAACCACCTAACTCGGTCGGTGCCCCTGGCCGACTTTAAGGAGGGAGAGAGAATAACATTGAATCCCGCATACACAACAGGAGAGATGAGGGTAGCTAAGAAATAGTCCGACTTGAATCTTTTCCAACTCTCTGTAAACGTGGAAGACCTTGTTGTCAACTTGACAAAATGAAACTATGCCATGACCAGTTCCCTTCTTTGAAAGGGGGATTGAGATGAAAAAGATGGAAGAAGAGGTTCGTTGAGGCTGACTCTAAAGTCCTTGGTATTCATATCGGTACTAGAACACCCTCATGAAAGCCAAATCAACAGATGGAGTTGCAAGGAGAAATATGAAGGTGGTCCAGTTCCCCCCCTTCTAAAATGCAGTAAAAGGAAGTCGAAAACCTAACTTCTGAAAGATACATTTATAGAATGGGATAAAGTTGCCTTTAAATTTGCTGCATATCGTCTTAACAGTAGGAACGACAGAGATGGGCCAATCCGAAGATGACCCCAGTTTTAAAGTAGCTTCCCTCATAATATCTTCTTGAGTATAAGTGGAAACCATCCCTAGATACATAAGGTCCACCCAGGAGTAATCACATGGGTCTCTCGTTTCCATCAACTCTCCGGGTTGAATAAATTATGTGTTTGCATTACAAAATAAACTATTTTTGTAAGCAGCATCAGAGTCCTAATGAGAAGGGGTTGTATGGAAAGATTAAATTGATCAACCCGTCTCTTGTTCCCTTATCTCAGACCAAACAAGACCCATGTTATATTCAACACGAGCCAGAGAAGTGCCACAAGTAGCAATATCGCTCATGAGCTAATCTCCGTCACCACCAGAAGAATCCAATAGTGACCCAAATGCGCCATGAGATGCACTTGGGCTAGTGATGGGAAAATTCCGGCCATAGAGATGTTCTACAAATTTAGCGTTCTCCACTCCAGCAGGCGACAAAGCCACGTTGCTGGTGAGCTCAAGAGCATCATTTATGTCCGCCTACCATGGGTTAACCAAACAACAGACATAGAAAAATAATGACATAACGTCAAAAGGGAGGAAGTAAAGAAGCAGCAGAGAAGTTCAAAGCACCATAACAAGAGAACTAAAGATCCGACTTTGGAAGGATGAGGAAACATTGAACAATAGGTAAATCAAAAAGGGACACTTAGAGCAAAATTCTGCCTTTTATTGGAGAGTCAATCGTGAACCAATAATCCATATTAAAGGCAGCAAAGCAAGCATCACATTGATGATAATGAAAAATAAAAAAAAAACACTCAAGCACCCTAAGTAGGGGAATCGAGTCCTAGATTATGCCTCTAGGACCTCATGCTCACAAGGAATGATGAAACGTTTCCATGATGGGAAATCATTTAAAACAACTGTCTCTTAATATCTTTGTAATCGATCCAAGGCGTTTCCACTTCCACGAAAAAGCGAGTAACATTTCTTGAGGCCAACCACGACTTCTAAGACTTCCACCAATGAGATCCATAAAAGGCAACCGAACACCCATCTCTTTAAAGACGAACTCTCACATTGAGAACCTATCAGTATCAAAGGGTGAACAAATATGTTCATCTTTTTTAGGGGAAAAGTACTTTCCAATCCTCCTCGACGTCTAATGAATCTATTTCCTATCCCACGGTGATGAATGCCTCCTCGGGGAAGGAAGCAAAGAGTGAGGCTATCTCCCGGGGCTCTAGAGATATCCACTCTTCCTCGGAAGCCTCGTTTTGCTCGACCATGTTCTCTTCCTCAGCGTTATTAGCCATGTTACCTGAAAAGCAGAGGACAAAAGTGAATTCGACGATCAAATCAAATCCACCCTTCCACCTCTAATCAAGTGAAAGGGCGTGCAAAGGCGCGAGAACGACATCCTCGCCCAAATCCATTACTCAAACAACAAGCGAAGATGCAAGGAGATCCTCCTTGACTGGTTTGGAGCCTCCCTGACAGGAAAACCATTAAAATCTCACGAGGAAAATCTCCCCGACATATTACCCAGAACTCCGCTTGAAGATTCATCGGAAAATTCTTATAGTTCATCTGAAAACACATGCAAGCCCAGAAAACAGTTAGCACTGATTGGAAAAATCATGAGTCCACTG